CCACTGGATCTCCCAGTAAAGCTCAGCATACCGTCTCGCTAACCTGCAGTCTACAGACTGACCAACTTTATCTATCTCCACTCCACCACCAGTTTCAGGCCTGGGGGAGGAAACAGCCCTATTCTTTACTCCTCTTCATGCATGTCTATCAAAATTAAGCCCTATGTTTCCTGCCTACCTGTAGGTCTGAGCGCCAAAGACAAAGTAATTGCATCAATACATTTCTCCTAATTGTCTTTTCTCTTCGTGTGAGTTTTTCAGATTAAACTACTATTACCAATGAATGCCAATACTGTTGTGTGCTACCGGCTTAAAGAAATTCCACCTGTCAGAGGTTCTGATGAAAAGGTCCAACCCTCCCATTTTTAAAGCATTCTGTTTTTGTGGCAGCCATCTACGTTAAAATCTCTTAATTGCAAGGTGAGCTCATTCTAACTTCTCGCTTTATTAACAATATAATGCTTCAAATCTTAACTATTTGGGCTTTAAATTTGTCCCAGTATTGCTAAAAACTGCTGAGACCACACAATTTGTTTAGTACTGCCTGAATAGCAGAAAATATGTTTAAGTACCCAAAATTTATTCTTCTTTAGCTGGAATGACTAACAGGATGCTCCTGCGGATCTGTGATGCACCAGGCAGCGGAAAGGGAAACCCATTTCTGCCTCCGGCAAAGGCTGAAAATAATAAATCCACTGTGGTGATAAGTGATGACAGAGATCCATGATAGTTGATAAAATAAGCAAAATTAACATTTGCTCTACAGGGTGATGGCAATATGAGGTGCGTGTGTAGTTAGCCACAGTGGGTTGCATGTTAGGCTACGTTATCTCACAGCAGGAAGATTCTGCTTTCATATACAAGCTGCGGCTTTAAGTTAAGGTTTGCATGTTCTCTTCATGCATGCGTGGGTTACTTAGTGGTATTCAGCTTTCCCAGTAAATTGCCCCAAGGTGTGACTGTGTGCTGGAGATAGGAACCAGCACCCCCATTGAATCTGAACAGGATTAAGCAAGAAACACATTAACAGAAAAAAATAATTAAAAGACAGAACTCAGCACAGAAAAGGAAGAATTTGGTAACTTAATACGGTTATTATATGTTATTCAGTTTTTTTTTTTTTTTTTACTAAAACATTCAACAGTAATGTTTTACTAAAATTCTGTGATATTTCCCATAAAAATATTACCCAACTCTCCATCCATCAAGGTCAAGTAGCAGGAGTAGAAATGTCTACGTCTGCAGTGTAGTTAGGATGGTGAACAAGAAAAGTAAACCAAATTTGGTGTTTGGGAAAATAATGTTGTTATTGTAATTATTGTCTAGGTGATAAATGAAGAAACACTGGAGAATCTCTTTCTTTAAAGATATTTTTCCTTGAAGAGAAAGACCTGCAGTAAATCTAAAGGTAGAGAGGAAGAGGTGTGTGTATGTGGCTGCTAGGTGCTATCTGTTTCTGATTTCTTCTTCTTCCGCTGATAAATCAGCCACTTATCTTTGCGAATCAAATGCATAAACCAACGTCTTTCTGATCAGACCTCGTCTAGGCTGCAAGGGAAATTCTTGATTTATTTGGACGTGGTCCTCTGGGAGATGGTTATTTTACTGGCTGGAACAAACGGTGAGCACATTAAAAATGTAATTTACAAAATTAACTTTTAAGGTATTAAAATAGTTAATTCTCTTTACCATTTAGGAAATAATACATTGACTTTAATAATAAGAGAAGGGACAGATAGCTCAGTTTGTTCTTTAAACTGGAATAAATAATTAAAATCTAATTATCTAATAAAGTTAAGCTGAACTAAATTATGCACTTTGTGTTTCAAACTTCTAAGCTTCTGGCCACAAATCGCTTTTCCTGCCTCTTCAGTCGTTATACCAGGAAATAACCTGGTGTGTGTAATGCTGGTGTGAGTGTGGAGGCGGTATGCGTTTGTGTCTCTACAATATGATTAAGATGTGTGTGTGTGTGACTCATGAATAATGAAATCAGCTGAATTTAGGCCACATGGACTCTAAAAGGGGGGAAGGCAGGAATACCTCTTTATTTTTTCATCCCGTACGTCTGCGGTGCACTCACTGGAAGATAATTACCCCCATCTTTCTTCCTCTTCTGCTCCTTCTCACCTTTGCTTGATCTCTCCATCCACCTTTCCACTTTTACCGATTTTTATTCTTGCAGATGGGAATCTATCAGTGAGTTAATTTTTTGCTCCGTTGTGTTCATGGATTGCACCTGCACCCCTTGTGCTCCCTGATCCCGGCCCTGATTAGATTGCTCCACCTACACCCCTCCCTTCCTGTCCTTCTCCTCTGGGCCTCCACTGGGAGTAGTGGCTGATTGTGTCCATCTGCTCTGCTGTCTAAAGCCTCTCAGATTCACTGGAAGGGTTCAGACAGATTCGATTGTTTAGAAGCTGGAGCTGTTTAAGCTTTACAGTGTTTTTTTTTTTTGGCCATGTTCTGACTATTTATTTGCCATCAAACATTCAAGGTTTGTCTAGACTGAAAGCAATCACAGTAAGCAGTTACCCATAAGCTCCAAGTACAACAACATTTTAGAAAATATAAAGTATCTCTTGTCAAGACTGGGATTGGTATGATTTATAGTCCTCATGAAGACAAATTTGTGTTACGGGGAGAGTGATGTGTGCTGGGCACAGGTTGTATAATAATTAGGCCCCACGGGGGTCTGTATATGCCAGCTGTCACTCCCTTCTATCCCATGTGTTTTATAAGAAGCCTTGGCAAAAGGCCTAAGCCAAAAAGCACTTAGCGAATGATGCTATATGACACTTCCTATAACTTCCTTTGACCTCATAGCTTATTTCAGAACCTCCAGATGTACGATCAAAGCAGAAACACCTGAACCTACGATCTGTACCTCTGGCAGATTTATTTGCTTTCTGTTACCAATTGAGAGTTCTAAATAAAACTGGCAGACAATGATGATTAATTTTCAATAAATGTCCTAATCTATAACAACTTGATCTATGAGAATATTTTCTCTCTTAAAAAATAAATAAATAAATCTCAGCTCTACCCTACACAACCATCAGGTATCGATAGGTGGCTTTTCGCCAGGGCCTTTTTTTCAGGGCACTTTTGCAAAGTTATGCTATTACTCTTAGGATCATAAGCTTTAAGTTCTTGGCTGTAAATGTTTACAAGCCACGTTATAATTTTATCTGGTTCCTTGAAGCGCCCTGTAATTTTAAGCAAAATATCTTGTATTTTGTGGAGAAAATGATCTGTACATTTGAGGAACATATCTTACGGGAACTTGAAAATTAAACTTCTACAAGACAACTGAGTCTTTAACAGTATCTTATGATTTCAGGAAAGAAATCAATGAAGTTAAGGGGAATACCTCGTAATTTCAAGTCCATAATATATAAAGTTAATCAAGGTAATCTAAATGTTCTGGCAAGAACTTTAGTGTATGCTGGTCACTCAAATTGGCTTTCAGCTTCTACTGAAAGCAGATGTTCAAGAGTGACACTAAAAACAAGCTATTCTGTAAAAAACAATATTAAAACAAACAAAAAACAGAAAAAAAAAGAAAAATAACCTGTAATTTTTAGGGAAACATGCACGATTCACAAAACTGAATCACATGTCACCCCAATAAAACAATGGGGTTTTATTGAACATTCATGAAAGCATGCTGTAAATTTAACACGTAACCTGTAAGACCCTAATAAACTAGATGGTCACAGGTCACCCTGTTAAAACAGGGTCCCTGAAGGTATCTTGTGATTTCTCAAAGTAATAATGTGTTAAAAAGGTACTCATTAAATTTAAAAGATAGCCCATAATTTTAAAGACAGTATTCTGCAGCTTCTAAGAAGATATAAAGTCACAAGTTACTTCAAAATAACCACCCGTCACAAAATAAGGATTTTAGGAAAATTGCTGACAGAAAAAATTATGTCTAGAGATTCACCTGTGTGTATATGTTGTTTGATTTTTTTTTGGTTTGTTGGTTTTTACATCTGCAAGAAGACAGATTTAGGGGAAAAATGTTATGAATAAAAATGTATATACAGTCAAAGACAACTTTTTTTAGTATGAGAAAAAAAATGTATCAGGTATAGATCCTTTTGTTGCGTTACTCTAGGCTCCTAGCTCTCAGACCACGTCTGTTCCATTGTTTCATGCTTTTCGTCAGTATGATTATTCCATTTTCTACAATGACAATGCTGATGACTAACAGCGTCATATCTCTGAGTCAGTGCATGACCCCAGTCTCTTCCAGTCACCCACTGAGAGTGACAGTAGTAACCAAAAGTCATTCCTCATGCTCCCTAATATGCCTACAAGATTAGAGATCTTCACTCAGATTAATCGGACATTCCAACTCAATCGCACAGATTATAGAGACATTTGTGAAAAAAACAAGAGAAATGATAAATGTATGGCTTTGAGCTGCACGGAAACAATCAGTGGTATAAAGACGCAAACGGAAGAAATGAGTGCTTCTTATCACCCCCTGACACGCCTACTGTCACGGGTCAGTGCCCCGTCATCTTCATGGAACAAAGGAGATGTTTAGGTGAATGGATATTCAGTGTGGCAGAAACACTCATGCTCTCCATCCCTCATTGTAATCTAATTTGTGGGGAGGATTTTTTTATCTGCTTCTTTGATCTGAGCTGGACTTAACTCTGTTATCTTTTTAACACACATGCCTTCTGAAAAATGTAGTTTTTTAAAAAAAAAAACAAGATTTGAGATAAAAGTATTTTTTTGATATTTAGGTTTTACATACAGAAGCTGTTGTGCATTTTTTATGAGCCATAATTGTTCATTTGAATTAATCTTGTTTGTCTTGTTAGATGAAATTAATGAGCTTTCTTTTATGTCTGTCTCTTCCTGTCCCTTGTGCCCTGGCCTCTTCCCGTCTTATCCCGCCTTTGTTCTCCCGGTCAACCCCCATGTTCCTCTCTCCCTCCTTCTTTCCCCCCATTCTCTCTTATTTTTTTCTTTTTCCACAGTTGGCTGCAGAGGGAGGGATTGTTGAAACGTCAGAGAGAAGCACACAGTTTCAGGATCCTCAGTCAGACACTCGCCTCACACCACAACAACAGATCCCTGGAAGACCAAATTAAGGCACACAGTTGTTAACCCATCGCCTGCCTCCAGCAGGCCTCCCTGGAGACTGTCTGGCTTGGTGCATGAACTGGGAGGTTCTGTGTAGTCCCGTGTTGATGAACGTGTGGGTGTTTTTTGTCACTTTTGATGGGACATTAAGAGATGTGCGTGTCACAGCATCCGTGGATGGGCTGTAGGGGGCCATACTCCCCTGTTCTCCCCCTCATCCTCCTCCCTTTGTACTTCCTGCTTGCTCAGGGAGCTATCATCCTCCCGGAACATTGTGAGTACTGCTCCACAGCTAACTTCTCTAGAAGTATTGTGGGGAAAACTTTTTCCCAAACAGTATTAACAGATCACACCTTTAAAAAAATTATTCAGTGGTGAACCTTCATTTTCACAGTTTGAATTAATTTACCTCAAAAACCCACCAGCAGCCCTCCAATAGCATGCCACACCCCCAACCCGCCCATCCATTGACACACAAAACCACAACTGGACACATCCAGAGCCTAATGAAAATGTTGTCAATTCTTCTTCTTATGCCAACATAAACAACCTTATTCTGGAATACATTGTATTGGGTGACATAACAGATGATATTGAAAAATTGGGAAGTGGAAAGAAAATAACCCATGTTTAAAAAATAGACGTTTTAAAATTGTGTTTCAGTTAAATTTGAGTTCCAACCTGGACGTTGTCCATTTTCAGGGGCATTATGGAGTTTTCTAATAATAATACTTCCACCTGTGGCTGAAACACAGACCTGCAGCACTCTTCTGCTCATTCTCGTAGCTTACGTTCATAATTTACAAGGTTTGTTTTTTTGTTGTTGCTTTTTTTCACCTTAGCCGTCCATGTCAGAGTTGAGCTGTACAGCTTCTGAGTGTCCACAAAATGCATCTTGAATATAACGCTTTGTTTTTTAGGTCGGACACTATTGAGTCCTCTTTCTGACTATAGGACACATACAACATGGACACTCTTCACGTCACACCAGCTGAACAATGCAGGAATTTCCAACCCAAAGTAAATTCAGAAAAATAGGCTACAGGCTTATAGATGCATCTGTGCCGAACTACAGATGTGTCAGCCTGCTCATCAAAGGATTTTTTTAGTCATAAAGGGAAAAATAAAAAGCCCATTTTAAAGATATTTCTCAGTAAAATCTTACATATGTCTTTAAACACATGAATATGCTTTAGTGGGAATCTTCCTATTGTACATGGCATACATTTCTGCAGATTTTCAGCATAGGAAAATAAACAGGAAGACATTTGTGGAAACCTGAAATGAGGACCCAATGAAAACCTGAAGGCTCAGTAATAATGAGGGAAAACAGGTGCAAGCAAAATGTAAATGAGGAGACACAGGTGAATGGAATCTAATAATTAAATGAGGATCTGGAGAGGGAGAAATTATGAAACAGGGAAAATTGTAAGGAAAAAACTACAGCTCGGGTTATGGTTAAGGTCCACCCATCAGTGGATTGTTACATGCTACGCCAGTAGCCCCTTCTTAACCTGAGTCATACAATTATGTCTCAGACCTGCCTCAGAGGTAGGACCATAAACGACGCAGGCTGGTTCAGTAGTATGGGTCAGTTTAGTAATCAAAAACACTCCAATGTTGGATTGGATGAGACCAAACTTCATTATACTGCTCAGTGATAGCAGGTTTAAGATAATCCAAAACTTACAAAAATAATGACCAGAGAACGTAAGAGAAAACTAACTAAAACTCTTCAGAAATACTCAAGAGAAACTTAACTAGAAAAAAACCTTGCAAAAGATAAATAAACATATTTGGATTTTCTCATGTTCAGATGAGGGACTGAGCAGAACTCTGTGAGATTTTTAATTCTTAAGATATATTTGACCTCAGAACTATTCTTTAGACTTCAAAGTTGTCTCGCTAAACCAGCTTGCTGTGTTCCTGGGTTTCATGATTGATGTTAATCAATTCTCTAAAGAGCCTTTTAGCTGTATTCACAGGCCACTTGCATTTATAAGATTAAATTCTATTCAGCAATTTGATCACAGTTTACAAACAGGGTGACGTCTAACAAAATGATTTAGAGCAGGCATCCCCAAAGTCGATCCTCGGGGGCCACTGTCCTGCAGGTTTTAGAGGTTTCCCAGCTTTAGAGGTAACAGAGTCTGATTAAATCCACCCATGTGTTTTTTTTTCACTTCACAGTTTCATGCTTCTATGTGTTGAGATATAAAGTTTTTGGTTTAATGAGACAAAATGCACAGAGGGGTTAACATTTTCCAGGCTCTGCAGGTTACAGTTACAGTTTAATCTTTTATTTCTCTCCTGATAGAAGCACCTTTACTTTACTTCTTTTCTGCTAAATGCAGTTTGTATGTGATAAACCGAGAGCACGTGGCTTCAGCACACGCAGCCCCAAACAGAGTAGTAAATATTAACCTGATTTTAACAAAAGAGAAACAAACATATTAGCTGGATAGTAGCACAAAGCAAAGCAGTTAAGTAACAAATTGGGAAGGGAAAGCCTTCAGGATGCTGTACTCATTTTGGTCTTATTTGAGACTCACCCTGGTCAGATTTGGCACCTCTATTGGTTCTGACAGACCTAACTGAATCTTCTCAAGACAGATTGAGGACCACCTTCAGAGATAAGTAACTAATGATAATGAACACCTTTATCTGTGTTGATTTAGCAGCATGAGGGCCTGATCTGACAGGGGCTACGGTCCAACTGTTTTACTCTCTGTTTACAGCCATGCTGACAGCTTCATTACAGAAGACTGAGGCTGAACCATATTAAACATGTTTGTTTCCTCTTTTTCCTTCTTTTGTGCTTCCGTGGACAAACAGATAAGTTACAAACCTGTAAGTGACTTCCATTGTTGTAACACATGTCTGTGATAGCTCCTTATTGCTGACATAAACAAAAACATGTCCTACTTTTAAACAACACCCATGATTTTTATCATTTTTTTTATTTCTATCAGCAAATATGTTTAATTGTAGAATTTTATGAATGAATGAAAAACCGGAGAGTAAATCATTATGTGGAGCTCTTTGGAGCAAAAATACATACAATTTTCTCTGCACTAATGTTCCTTTATACAAGTAGGCATTCTTTTTAAAGCTTCCTCCTGCATGTATAGACGTTTCTCTATTGCCCCCTCTGCAATAGAGAAACGTCAGCTTCAAAGTGTCGTGCACAGTGAGCCATTTATGTAGGCTTATCATGCAGAAAGAATAAAGCATAGATTAGTTTTAAATCTAAAGGCCACCAGGAACCAACCTAACTTTCTATATTTAAGGAACTTCAATCTTAAAAATTTTACAGAGGTCATAGAAACCATGTGGTAAATGTATTTATCTGCATGAGTAATACATTTGGATCAAGAAATATGATTATATCTGATACTTGGGGAAAAAAATGAGACCTCTGCCTTACTTTGTGATTAAAACTCCCTCCTGCAACGGAGATCAGATTGCAGCTTCTGTAATGTCTGCTTTTAAGTGTCGTGCTCAATGTTCCATTCATGTAGGCCTCCCATGCAAAGCTGATAAAACATAGATTTGCTTTCAAACTTAGGGCCATTCAAGGGTTAAAGAGATTTTCTACATTTAAAGGGGTAATAGAGATGCCATACAATGTATGTATTTACCTGCATCAATAATACATTTAGCTTATAAAACATGATGGTACCTGATAGTTAAAAGAATCAGACAAGATTTGAGCAAATAGAATAAACTATAATACTAATAGAAAAACTCACTTTTATTTTTGCATAGCAAAGATTTTATGAAACTGTCTGTGAGGATAATTCAGTTAAATCAGATTCCAACTCTGTTATCCGTGAAAGACATTCTCATCTTTCTTGATCGTCACTCCCCATAATCTTTTTTTTACACCAGACTTAAGATGATTTAACCAACATGGAAGCTCTGGCAAACATGAGCAAACAAATTAATGCTAACTGCAACTGGACTAATGATCTGTAAGAAAATCATCTGAAAAATAATAGAAATATTACATTTTGGGCGAGGGAAATCTCAATAAACATTGGCTATCTACTGCAGTGCAAGACCAGATTTGTCTGCACTTTGGACTATGATGGATCTGGGTCCATATAAAGAAAAGAATTTGGTAAAATGTATTATTAATCCAAAAAACAGGAGGTGGAGCTGAGGGTTATCAGATTCCCATCATATATACTGTATGTGTAGTGTCTGTGCTGTTGTCTCCATTCTGAGCTGTGTTTGTTGGTATCACTGGATGCTTTGATGTGGGGACTGTCTGAATCTGAAATTAGAATGATAAAAAATAACATTGTATTTTAAATAAACGTGAAAAGCACGATTTCATGTATTATTGTAAATGCATTTGTGTAGGATTAATGTAGGCAGTGAAATTAAGTTAATAAAAAATTGTGATGCATGTTTTGTTTGCTTGTGTTTTCAGTGGAAACTCTTCCCAACCTGACACAGGTGCCGATATCGGTAACAGCATTTTCTCGAGAAGATATCATCCTGAAATGTGAGGCCACTGGTAACCCAACACCCCAGTGAGTACAGCGTGATTGTGCTTGAGAGTACTGAACACCAGACAGGACAAATGTTAATGTCCAGTTTCCTCTGGCTGGCATTTGTGTTGGCATGGAAATAAATAGTGTTTAATAAGATCAGAGGTAAACATTTTCTGTCTCACTCTGTCATGTCTGACACCACTTCCTGTTTTCCCATTTGCTTTAGAACGTAATGTCATAATGAAAAGGGCGAATTAAATCACCTGTTAGATGAAAAAATTGTACTGCTGGGTCGAAGCTCTAAGACCAGATGCTGGCTTATTTTCCTCAACTATGACCATGAGTCTTATTAACTAACATTTATCCGAAACGTTCCTTATAGGGAATGATTGCCACACCACATTGTCTTTAAGGGCAAATGAAGAAAAAAAAATTTGGATGAACACAAGAAAATGATGATTACTGTTTTCTATAAAGCAAAGGAATTTGGCAAATGTTCAGCTGCTCTCTGTGTTTCTCCAGATAAAACTCAGTTGTGGGGAAATCTTTACCCACAGCTCTGCTGCATTGCAGTTTCAAGTAAGCAGTTGGCTCTGCCAGTTTAAGATTTCAGAGGGAAGATTAAGACAGCTACCTTACATTTCGCAGGATTTATATTCTCAGAATTAAAAGCAAAATACATTTTCAGACTGATACAGATATTGTATCTGGGACAAAACTGCAAAACTCTATATGTTATCCAAACTATTTGAACTGGAAACAAATTCTGTTATTTATCAC